GCAGAGAATAAACTCAACTCTTACCAAACCGTGCTATTTAATGAGCCCGGAAACAATGAATGAGTTCGACACTAATCAACATGCTCGGTGTTCCAAAAATGAGTTCAATCCTCGTCATGACCAAATTGAATTGAAATAGCAAATAGAAAGATAAAAATTCACCAAAAACTTAAGCGTACAAGACAAACTAACAAGCTTAATTATAGGTCAAGCGAACTACCAGAGAATTATAATAACTTTCCAAACTGAATCACTAAAATGATGGAAAGTATGCCGCCTTGAATCAAAATTCATGAAAATCATAACTGAACAAAGTCTATAAAAACAAAAAAAAAATCAAAGCGAAAGATACGCTAAACTCTCCTTTTCTTCTAGCAAACATTTCTATTCCAATACTGACTTAAATATCAGAGTGTCTTCGATCAAAATACGATGATCCTAGACAATTTGTTTATTTTACAAAATAAAAAAATTAGGAAGTTCAGAAATATTTTTTACTAGAAAGATCACGTCAAATTCCATGTAAGAGGTATTGTCAATTTTTTACCTCTTACGGTATATATTTATGAGAGAGAGCCATTTGAACAATGATAGCAATATTATACATAATTGTATTAAAAAGTAATAAATACATATATAATTTAAATAAAATCAGATATTGCTCTCTCTTTCACACATACACAAAAAATTTTAATTGTGCATTTTATATTATTATTATTAATCTTTTTTACTTTTATTTAAATAGGATTAACGGATTATTTGAAATAAATTTATCCTTAAAGACACAAAAGAAAATTTATCCTATCAGATTATAAGATTTTATCGGCCTCCAACTTTTTTATTATAAAATTCTAAATTTATATTTAATTTTTCAAAATATAGCTTAATTGATTTTCTTCAACCGGCCATTTTTTATTTTTAAACAAATTTAGATATAGATTTCAAAAACAATTTCCAATGTATATTCAATTTGGATTTATAAAAATAAACTGTAATCAGATTTGAATATGAATGAACAAAACCGATCCAGAACTGTTGTTTAATCTTTAGTATTTCTTTCTTCATCTACCCCTCTCTCTTCTGCTTTCCCACGTTTCTCTAACCCTCTCCAGTCCCCTCAACAGTGTTTTTTACTCTCCCCCTTTGCCTTTATCTTTTGTTGTGGTTTAGTTTACAAGGCATCCATTTTGTGAAATCCAATTTAAAAATAAACTTTTACTTTGAGATTAAGCCCCAGAGAATCCCAATAAAAATTTGTTGGGTATGTTGAAATTTTGGATAAATCAGAAAGACAAAAGAAAATAAATTGAAAAGAAATACTATTTATTATTTGAAAATATATACAAAAAAATCCATAAATATAAGCCACGACGAGTATAGCCTTCTTTCTTCAAGTATAGAAGAAGACTTGAAAGACAAGTTGGCACAAGTAAATTTAGCTTATGATCATTGTTAAGTGCTGCTTATGGTATAAACCAAACAGCACCGGACCGTCTATAAGCACTATTAGCATAATGTCCAAACATAGGTTAATCTGAAAATCACACAAATTTAGAAAAGGTATCAATTTCAAGTTTAAAATAAACGAAACAGGATTCATGTGATCGACCCAACCAACTATAGGGTAAAAAATATTATACCAATTAACAAGAAAACAATTGAGAGGACAAAAGACCACAGGGTTTCATAACATAACACTGAAATCATCAGAAAACGAGATGGAAAAAAGAAAATCAAGGAGCCTCAGAATTGCAGAATGACATCAAGGCTTTAATCAAAAAAGCCATTCAGTCCCGAAAGATGGTGTTCTTATTGATTGATTTCATCACAGGCCAATTAAAAAAAAATTGAAACAGAAAACAAAAAATCAGAAATAAAAAAAGTTGTATCAATCAGTATAGAGTATTGGAATGTGATTCTCATGGCCAGTCCTAAGAGGTAATTGCAGAGATTCTGCTCCCCAAGGCGATAGGATATGACAATACCCTCCTTCGAAAGCGGGAGGCTCCGAAGTAATTAGGAGCCTCAACCGCCGTTACATCAACAGAGGGCTTGATCTGCGACGATTTATCTTTGGGTTTTACGAACACCGTCTAGCTCGCCCCAATTCTCTGTAAATCGTCGCACAAACAACAAAATAAAATTCCAAAACAATCTAAAATTTACATATAGGGAACCACTTAAATACCAGAGAGCATGAATGATGTTAGCCAAACCATACGCACAATCTCAAGCAGAAAACCCTACACCAGGAGAGAGAAAGGGAGAGCCTTCATGGACGGCGCCGTTTGTCACATGCTGTGCAAAACCCTAGCGGTCTATTGATGATTTAATGGTTAAGACGTATTTATAGACTTGGTGATTCCATTTTGGCCGTTGGATTTGAACCTAATCCTGTGGTGGATGTTGTCGCATTTTGCAGTCGGTAATTCTTCGTGGGCAAATAACATCACTACCCCTAAATTTTGACATCCGTCCTAATTTGTTCCCACATCTCCAATTTTTACCCTTTTTTAAACTTGTATTTAAATTTGGATAAAAAAATTCTTAAATTTTTTTTTTAATAATAGAATCATACCCATATCAAATCACGGAAAATTTATTTATTTTATTCAAATCCATATTTAAATATTTAATGATAAAATTTGACTATTTTTTAAAGATATAATGGTTATATTTTACCTTCTTTTAAATTTGAATTTATCATCATTTAAATTTAAATTTCTCATTTTTTAAATTTAAGTTTCTCTAATGCAGATTTTTATATTAAATTAAGTTTTTTACCCTTTAATTTACCCAAATTTGAGTAAAAATTTATGTTTCTATTGGAAATGATCTTACTAAATTTTATTCCTTAGTGTTTTGAAAAAACAAACAATCCCAATCATTAGTAGTAATTTTGGTGGTGGAGGTGATTGGTTTTGGAGCGTAGGGCGTTGGGTTTTGAAAGAACAAAGTTTAGTTTTTTAAAAAACATTTTTATTATTTTTGATTTATAAAAAATATGAAAAACATTTAGTCACACCCTTTATAGTTTATCATATCTTCAAGAACACCTCTTATATTTTCTGAATCTTCAATAACACCTTAAAAATGTTAATTAAAATATAATTTTACTAAATTGTCTATGATATGTTTGAGGAAACACTTCATCCACACCCCTTTTATATGGGCCTATCTTTAATGAGACTTTTTCTGTTTTTAAGATATTTTTACCTATTAAAATTTGGATTGATTAGAATTTGATTTAAACTAATTAAAATTTATTTTTTACGTATTAAAATTTCAATAAATTAAAAATTATATTTTTTTACCTATTAAAATTAGAGTTAGTTAAAAATTATATTTTAATTAACTTGCATTGAATTTTAATTGGTTCAAATTTTGATACATTAAAAAATATAAATTTTAATCGACTCAAATTTTCATAAATACAATTTTAATTGGCACAAATTTTAATAAGTAAAAAAAATGACAAAAATTGAATTTTAATTGGCTCTAATAGCTCTGGCAGAGCTCAAATCGACTGGAATTTTAATACATAAAAAAATAATTTTAATAGTCTCAAATTTTAATATGTAAAAAAAAAAATTTAATCGACTCGAATTTTAATATATAAAAAATAAATTTTAATCGACTTAAATTTTAATTGAATTTTATGTAGAAGGATCCTTTGGATTTTATATAGGGACATTTTTGGTATTTTAAATAACTTTTTTTGTTAGAAATTGTGATTTAATGGGAGGAAGTGTTAGTAATGTTTAAATATAAGTTAGAAAAGGTGTTAGTAATTTTTTTGATAATAGAGGGGTGTTTTTGAAAATATAATAAATTAGAATAAGTGTAATTGAATTTTTTCCTAAAAATATAAAATTTCAAACTTAAAGGAGGGCAAAATGAATATGTTAAGAAACTATCAAATGACGGGGTGTAGAATTTAATTGGTATAAACTTGGACGGAGCAAGTAAAAACAAGTGAAAATTGGGACTGAATTCTCCTCAAAAGATTTATAATGATTTTAGTCTGTCGAAAAAATTTATTTAAAAATAAGTCTATTTTTAATCTTAAAGTTAAGTTCACTATTTTTTCAAAACTCCAAAATACTTTTCTTTAAAATTAGTTTTCTAACTTGAGAATTATTTTACTCTTAATTTATTATCAATGAAGATATGCCAATAAATATTTTTACATAAATTTAAAATTTAAATTCAAAAAACAACAAATACTCTCTTTCTCTCTCTATGTATCTATATATATAATTTTTTTACTATATTACTGTTCATGGTTTTTTTTTGTGAGCATGTTACTGTTCAAATTACTGTTGTTGTTAAACATGTTACTATTGTTATTTTCTCAAATATTAATACTTAATGTTATTATTTTTGTGTGTTTAAATATTACTATTTTTTGTGTGTTTAAATGATACTATTTTTTGTATTTAAATGGTAATATTTTTTGCGTTTAAATATTACTATTTTTTTAATGTTACTAAATGTATGTATATATATATGAGAGAGATAAATTATAATATTTTATATATAGATATGACACAGAGATAATTTTAATGTTAGTTAAACTCCTATAATTTAAGAATTTTTAATTTTTAATTTTATTTTAATTAAACATAATTACTACGGATATTTAGATAATAGAGATCAAGATAAACTTAATATTAAACAAATTTTTTTCCCGAAGTTAAATCCAAATAAGTTCACAAAGGGGTTCGGCTTCCAAATAACATTCACCTCCACAAAGGGGTTCGGCTTTCAAATTTTCCAAAAATCAAATACCACGATGTATATAAATGTAAAACGACGGCGTAATAGTTCAAGTAACTGTAGCCGCGTCTCCTAGTTCTGAGTTCCAACCATGTTAATCTTGTGTTGTGTACGCGGCAGTCAGCAATGGTATAGTTCGAACTGGAAACTCCATTGATCACCTTATAAAATACCACCCTCCCAAACCCCAAATTCCCTTCCCATCAACGCCTGAAAATCTTTTCTTCTTCCTCTCTCTCTCATCGCCGTTGTTTTCAATTCTCTCAGAATCGTCCTGTTTCTTTTCCTGGTAATCGTTTCTCGTTGGTTTTTTTGTACAGTTTCATTGGAGTTAAATCTTTCTGGGTTTCTCCAGAAGAATTTCAGAATAACGTCTGTATTCTGAAAAACTCCAATTCCCATTTACTCGTCGACGTCGCTTCCGATTCTCAGAAGAGTACTATTTCTTCGCCGGAGTAATTGTCTCCGGTTGGGTTTTGTTTAGCGCAAGAACTTTCATAATGCTGTCTGAAAACCTAGACCCACCTGACGAAGACGGAGAACCCTTCGTTGAAATCGATCCATCGGGACGTTTCGGCCGATACAGTGAGCTACTTGGTTGCGGCGCAGTGAAGAAGGTCTATAAAGCATTTGATCAAACAGAAGGCAGAGACGTCGCGTGGAACCAAGTGAGCTTGAGGAATTTCAGTGCCGATCCATCGGTTATCCACAGGCTTCGATCGGAGATCGAGCTGCTTACAACGTTGAAGAACGACAACATCATCGTTCTCTTCCACTGTTGGAAGGACAACGAGAGGAACAATTTGAACTCCATTACAGAGGCTTGCGCGAATGGTAGTCTCAGGGATTACAGGAAGAAGCATCGACGTGTGGCGGTGAAGGCTTTGAAGAAGTGGTCAAGACAGATACTCGAGGGCTTGGATTATCTCCATAGCCATGAGCCTTGTGTGATTCATAGAGATCTGAATTGCAGTAACATCTTCATCAATGGGAATGTCGTAAAGGTACTCTGTTTTCCTTACATTTATGAAATTCTCTGGTCTGGATCCTCTGTTAACTAGGGTCGAACGACTTTAATACGAGTCTAAAACATTTATTTTTTTAATCGAATCTAAAAAATTGTTAAAGTTTAATTCGTTTAAAAAACGAGTCAAATCTGAGTATTTGCACATAAACAAGTCGAGCCGAGTTTGTCAGACTTATTTTTTAAATTAACTTAAAAAATTGTTCAAATTCAATTCGTTTAAAAAATGAATCGTGCTTGAATGAGTAAAAAAACGAGCAGAATTCGAGTCAAATTTGAATAGCTCGATTTTATAAACAGCAGAGACGACATTATTTTGGTGTGAAATGTTATCGTTTTGAGGAACAATATTCCTATTGTTAAAAAAACTAATAACTGAAGATTTGGATTCGAAATTCTATGTTAATGGCATAGGATTTGGATCAAATAAAATTTGATTGACATCCGATCCGTTAATAGTATCGATTAAACATAAATTCGGTTAAACATGGCTTATATACTTTAACTATAAGTGGGTAACTAATGGATTAAACAAATTTTGACATGTCATTGTCTATGAAGTGTAGAAATACGACACGATAAAATCCAGCTTCTAGCATATTCCATGATAATTCGATTTCTAACCTGCTTATGATTTTGTTTCCTATGCCACAGGTCAAGATTGGTGATCTAGGCTTGGCAACAATAGTGGGGAAGACCCATGCAGCTCATTCGTTGTTGGGAACACCAGAGTACATGGCACCAGAGCTGTATGAAGAGAATTACAATGAGTTGGTGGACATATACTCATTTGGAATTTCATTGCTTGAAATGGCTACAATGGAGATACCTTACAGTGAGTGTGACAGCATAGTAAAGATATACAAGAAGGTGACTACTGGGGTAAAGCCTCAAGCATTTGAAAAAGTGAAAGATCCAGAATTGAAGGCCTTTATTGAAAGGTGCATTGGCAAGCCAAGAGCCAGACCCTCTGCCTCTGAGCTTCTTAAGGACCCATTCCTTTCTGATGTTGCTGACTACGATGAGGGCGAGATTAACTAGTGACTTGAGTTAATATTTCGCCATAAACTGAGTTTAATGTTTCAATGCAGCTCGATTGACCCCCTAATGAACATAGGTGGGATTGAAGGTTACTGTCACTGTGGTAGCACTGCTGTCCAGTTCTGATTCTTTTGTTTCCATGTAATTAGCAAAAAATTGTTTGATTGAAAGTTGGATACGTTTGATAGTATAAAACCTTTAATCGAATAAGACACCAAGTCAGCTTCCACTTGTGCCTCCTGGGCCGGTTGACCCTTTACCAAACCAAATGGGGAAAATCCTAAGTAAGAAACCTAAGCTAAAAGTAGTAGTGCTCCTTCTTTCTTGTATCTAGAAGGCTTTTTTCAATATCTTTGAACACTCTGTTTGTTCTTGTGAGTGAAATGTTGAGTCCATCTGTTAAAGTAGTATCATGCTTTTTGGAATTCTCGAAGCTGAGAAAAAGTGTCGTTTCAATCTACACCTATGAACTAAGTAAACCCAATGGAAACCAAAAAAATGGGGGTACTGCATTGGGCAAAAAATGATCCAAAAAGTAAAGACTCACCCAGCTGCAGAAAGGAGCTTTGAAAGCTTTACCTCCTTATTAAAAGGGGAAAAGGGCAACCTATATTAGTAATAATAAGATAGGCAATAGGTAGCTTACTTCCAAGCTAGCCTGGCGCCAGAAATCAAGAGATCTTTTTATGATTGTCTATTGTCTATATAGATAGTTAATAAACATTAACCTTTTAAAAGTCAAATTATCCTACATAAGATTAAAATTATCCATCACTTATCCCAAACAAACTAATGAATATCTTGTAAACTGAAAACAACCAAAATTGTTAATAACTGTTTTTTATATTAATTGAAAAAAAAATCAATTTTTATAAAAAAGAATAATATATCTTTATCAAAAGAAAAACCCCATAGAAATGGGTGGAAAAAAACTAAAAAAAGAAGCACAATTGAACCCCAAAAAGGAAAACAGAAATAATCAAGTCTTCCCTTCAACAAAAATTAACCCCTTGACATCTTAATTGCATAATTTTGAGATAATTAAGAGTAACTATCTCAATTAAGCCAGTTGATTCAAATTGTTAATAACTTACATTCAACAGAATCAACAATATCACTCTCTCTTTATCATATTTGGAAACATAGTCTGAAAGGGCAACTGCCAACAATTGAAATATTTGAAGTCGAGAAACATCATTGTAATTACATAGGGAGAATAGCTAAACAACCATGGAAGGTCCAAATTCAACATGTTATACAGATAGTGGATCACATTGGTACAGAAAGCCCATGAAAATATGCTAGACTCAAACAAGCAAAAATGTTACTATATGACTGGAGCTGCCATCAGAATTGGATCACTCTGAACTTTATGAGACTCCAAGACACTTCTTGCAACTTCCATGACAGATTGCCCATTGACATAATGCTGGCGACAAACAGGCATGTATACATCAGCACCACCTATGAGCTCTGTCTGTGTGTCATCTGTCTTCCTTAAGGTGAAAAAGGCACGTTTGCCACATAGTTCACATCTCGCTGTCAACTTTGTTATGGTATCAGCAAGGGGTATTATGTCAAGCACTGAACCAAAGCTTTTTCTGTAAATGAACATTGAAACTTAACATTAAAAAAACATGATTTAATGTACCACATAAAGACCAAGAGCTTTGACAATCAAGTGACAGATATGAAGCACTGCATCAACCACATAACAACGTTAGTCTGATATGAAATTACAAACATGTTTGCTCAGAAATGAGAACACAACGATCATTCTGAGCATCACCTTAAATAGTCACCATCAAGGCCAGCCACTATGACAGTTTGCCCATATTGGTCAGCAGCCTTCAAACAGAAATCATAAAGATCTTCAAAGAATTGAGCTTCATCAATACCAATCACATCCAGCTGTCAACATATACCACCAATGAGAAAACAATTGAAACACGATAAACACCAAAAATTGGAACACATAAAACAATTGGACCAACTATGTTTATGATTTAGAGGGGATGGTATCAACGATCTCACATGCAAGCATCAAACTGAAAAGTAAGGTGTATGAAAGAAATTAACAGCTTCCTGCCATTCAAAGTCAAGTTCTGAATTTGGTTCAAGGTACTTATTCTCTGTGCTTCTTTGGCAATAAAATTAAAGAATATAGATTCCAAAACCCCTCTTGGAGTCATTAACATTTGATTTTTGCTTCCAAAATCTTTCCTTGGAAAGCAAAAGTTTTTCAAGGTTATTCTTGGCCAAATCTAACTCCATGTTTAGATTCCTTGATAGGTACTGGCAACAATCCCGGATATAGAGTACTGAAGTAGTTTTTGAAATTGTGAGGATATCCCTTGAAATCACTCCAAATCATTTTGGG